GGGGGGGGGGGGGGGGGGGGGGGGGTGAGCGAACTGGTGCAGGAATGTGATATCACAAGGGAACTCACTCGTGCTGAGCGACTTCGGGGCAACTTGAGGGGAGGGAAAGGAGTTATTATACAAGGGTTTCCAAGGGCGGATTTATGATATAAGAAATTTTACAAAGACCAGCTTCAGATCGTCACACTTACTAATCTGCTCCGGCGATATTGGGGAATGTACTTGGACAAAAACGATCGTTCGGAGTGCAGTAGATGTTGAAGACACCAGTTGAACATGAGAAGGTGTAGGCACGCCCCTAAGGATTTCAGGTCCTGTGGGTGTGGCTCGAAATGAGAGAGTAGAGCTCATAGCGGGTACCGGGGACCAGCCAGCCACCTAGACGTATCTTGGCTACAAAGCTCGGCTAGAATATTTTAACGAAACGGTTGACACTTTTTTGTTTTAAAAAATTAGAATCTTCGACATCCATTCTTTCTCAGAAATTCTGATCTAGTATGCAGTAATTAATTATTAATGTCATTAAAAAAAAAAAAGTTCATACGGAGTTTGGGCAATAAAATGTATTCACTTGATAGTCAAAATTGAATTTTGATCTTCATTGTTCGGAGCAGGTTAAAGAAATCTGCATGCAATGTTAGGCATAAAATATCACCAAAAAGATATTAAAAAAAAAAAGTAGTTCAGACGAGGTCTTTGAGTTTGTTGTATTGTTTAAAAATATCGTGTTTCAGATTTTAAAAAAAATCAAGCCATTAGTCTCCCAAATGCTGCATCCTGTTAGTGTACTGCAGTCACTAGCGTCATTGAGGTCGGTGTCACCCAGCCGGTAGACGCATGGTGTCATCCTTCAACCCCCCCCCCCCTTCACGCCATCCAGACTCTGGTAACAATCTACTCCGGTCGTGACCTGCTCTTGTTTTTAACTGAGATTTGTTATGAAACGGACCCTGGCCCCCCTCCTCCAACCCCACCGAAGGCCCCCAAGCTTATTGCACGTGATCATTTCTCCCAAGTTTAACAATCGTAAAACAAACACATTGCTTGGATTTCTTTCGTTTACACTAATCATGTCTGAAGGCTGATATTTGATCCTTTCATTTCAGCCTATTCTCTCCTCCACCATAAAGATGCATTCGTCTCGCCTGCTGGTTTTGGCGCTTTTGGTCGGTGTCTGTTCTGGAATGCCAGAATGGTACAAAAATTTGAGAGATGCATTTATCAGCGACGAGCTGGCAATGAGAGTGGGCCAGGATCTGGTAAGACATGAACGTCTTGAAGGGACACTCATTATTTAGATGCGGATTTATTTATTTTTTTTGGGTCAAAAAAAAAAGTTATTTCTTATCTGACCAGTTCCGCCTTTGAAAGCGATCCACAAAAATGTAATCGTGTTTGTGTGTGTGTGTTGAATTCCAGATTCTTACCGACAAAGAAAAGCGTGTTAACGACTTTCTGATGAGTGAGAAAAGGGCAGAAGTGCAAGCCAGCACGATGACCAAGACACGTTACCTGGGTGCTGAACACTTCTTCCTGGCCAAGGAGAGAATCGAAGCCACGCCCATTTATGACATTCTTAAACAGATGCCTAAAGGTGAGGGCCATGTCATGGCACGAGTGTGGGCCTAATTTTAGCCGCCACCACCTGTCTCCCCTTTGTTTTTGTCTTAATACTAACGTCACCGATTAAATGTCCCGTGCCACCCCTCTCTTGATCGAGAAAAGGTTGTTTACGTTCGATGCGGTAATGCGGTTCTATTTGTTCCAAGGAATGCCATCAGGTGACGCAGTTTCTAGAACTTTTTTGCTGGATGTTCTGATTTAATCCTTATACATATATGTAGGCAAAGCAGCTTTCCTAGCCGAGGGGGATTTTTTGCGAGTCGTAATATCCTTGCAAGAGTGTACTCTTTATGTGTGAGGGTATATTAAGGTTTATATTTCTCTAGAACTGTACCTTTTCACTGGCTTTGCTGTAAATTGATATAGTTTTTTTTTAAATGCTATTTTACTTTGTATTTTTATACTTTTTATAGAAATTCAATAGTATTAATTAAATTGAATATTGTTATTATCATTAGCTATGATATCGGTTTTATTGTTAGTATCGCTTGCTTTGGTATCGTAATTCTTGTACACTTTGTTACGTATTGTTTATGCTACGAGCCACATCTTAAAACAGATTAAATTTTCAAAACCATAAAGTTACGTAAAAACCATTGAAGTTATTTTTTTTCCTACGTAAGTAAAAAAAAAATATCCATAATTGGGGGCGGGGGACTTTTTGAAACTCTATTCTTGCTACAAAATGTTATTTCCCTTCCTTTCCTCAGGAGGCAACCTTCACCTTCACGACCACGCCATCACGTCCATCGAGTGGATGGTAAAGAACCACACCTACCTGCCCAACGTCTACACGCAGGTGGACGCTAGCACAGGCGCCAGGGTTTTCAGTATCTCCAAAACACCTCTAGAAGGTGACCCACTCCATTCTTTTGTTAACAGTGGAGCATTGCTTAACGCCATAAATTTAACATTGCCACGAGCTGCACGAGGCCAAAACAAGAGTATCATTTAAGCATGCGTGTTACGTTGAAACACTAAATAAACTTCCGAAAATGTACATCGAGTGCTAAATAGCGCCGAATTCTGACCCTTAAACACCAAAGCCGGAAACCGGCTATACATTCGTGAGAAATTGTTTCAAAATGACATCCTTTATTACTAACAGGCTTTAAACAAAACCCCAGACCAAGAAAATTAAAAGAAAAAAACAACTAATTTATGCTTGTTTTGGTCGATTATTGTTCTATAGCCTACGCTATCAATTCCAGTATACGCTCTTGACTAGTACTTTATTGTTCTATGCAGTAATTTTGCCTATTTTCTTGCATAAAATTCGTTCATAAAATTATACAAGCATTTTTCTGGCCATCGCCCTCATCACAGGTTGGGAAAATATGGAGGAGACACGCAAAACCCTGGACAACGTTGCCGAGTACGACAATCGGTAAGTAAATAGGAGTTTTCCCTTATAGAAAGTATCAACATATAATTAAAGTCTTGAACAGCTCCACAGGTCTAACTCAAAAGGTCTAGCTCCATAGGTCTAGTTCCATAGTTCTACCAACATCGGTCTAGCTCCATAGGTCTAGCTCCATAGGTCAAGCGCTATATGTCTAGCTCCATAGGTCTAGCTCCATAGGTCAATCTCTATAGGTCTAGCTCCTTACGTCTAGCTCATTAGGTCAAGTTCCATAGGTCCAGCACCATAGGCCTAGCTCCAAACATCTAGCTAAGTCCTAGCTCAAATTTACCTCAATTATAGACTTTCTAGACTTTCCTACCAGTAAACAATTTTGGTTATGCTTTTTATGACCTTTTTGACAGTGCTAGTTCAATACCTTTTTTTATACCTAGGTTATATATGTACACCTGAACATAAAAAAAAGGCCAAAGACCTGAAAAACTACTAAAATATAATTCCTACTATCACATTTATCCAGGAAAAAAAAAAGATCCCCCCCCCCTCTTTTTTTTTTTTTTTTTTTTTATCAACTTAACAACAGGAAACGACAATGCGATTCAAATAACGATCTATCCCCCACACTTTTTTTCCCCCTTTCTTCTTCTTCCAGACTTATCAGAGAAATGTCCATCTGGGTTCCCGACCCGTACACAGCCTACCCCACAGTCAACGACGTCTGGGGAAAGTTCAACAATTTCTTTGACTCCATGGGAGGCTTCACCAAGGATCTCACTCTGGCCAAGTACGACCTTTTCACACCCGAATTGAGAGTGTAGACAGACGTCATTTTCCTCGTTTAGATTACTATTGTAAATTTCCACTTAAAACGGTTACCGGAAATTTTTTTTGGAAGAAATTTCGTCGACGGACATTTCATTGAAATTTTTTTTTCAGTTCACACTATTTAATTTTCGTCAAACTTCTTTTTGAACGCACTATACTACATAGTAAAACAAAATAATGCGTTCAAAAAGAAATTTGACGCAAAATTTGATGGTGTCAACGGAAAAAAAAATTCGATCAAATTTCCGTTCGATCAAGCTTCCGTCGATCAATTTTCCTTGGACGAAATTTCTTTCAAACAAATTTCCCGGATGCGACCTAAAACATTTACAACTGTCTGTCTGATGCAGATGGTACTTTGAGGAAGCTCTGGAGCAGTTCTATGAGGACGGCGTCCAATACATGGAGCTGAGAGGAGGAACGATGGTGAGACATTCGTAGGGTTACAAAATATCAACAACGTTTAGCAAACTGTACCTGTTAACATGGGCGCCCGCACGTAGTGGCAAGGTGGGGCACTTGCCCCCCCTCCCCCTGGATTGATTGGATACAAGTTTTTTAGACAAAAATAGACAAAAAATTTATTAAAATAAAGAGAAAATAAAGAGAAAGTAACTAAGCTGATGTCCTGTCCGTTCGTTCACCATACAAATACGCTACAGTAAATTAAAACTATATTAAAACAAAGAAAAAATAAAGAGAAAGTAACTAAGCTGATGTCCTGTCCGTTCGTTCACCATACAAATACGCTACAGTAAATTAAAACTATATTAAAACATTACTAAAAATTTTTGCCCCCCCCCCCCGCTGGAAAGTTTATTGATTTTTTTTGCCCCCCTCCCCCTAGAAATTTTTCTGCGGGCGCCCATGCCTTTTAAGTTGAAATTAATATGTAAGAAATAGATCTGACCTCACACACATCAACTCGTCGGTAGGCTTTAGCTGTATTCTCAAAGTCATTCTTAGGTTTCTTTTCGCCAAAGATCTATCTACAAAATTAGATGTTAAGTTGAAACTGAACGGCTAATACAGAGAGGAAATTTCTTAATGGATTACCCCCCCCCCCCCCCCACCCCCCACCCTTTTACCACCCCCCCCCCCCATAAAAATAATTCCAGAATTTAATTATAAACAACGCAAAAGACACGTCAGATTTGATTTCCCCGATCTCCCAACACACAGAAAGACTACCAGAGAAAGGACCTGACCATACCCTACCTCCAGATGATTCAAGATTCTACAAAGAAATTCCAGAAGAGGCATCCGGATTTCATCGGTGTGAAAATGATCATCGCCGGCAAAAGGTTAGTAATTAAGTCTATCTTAAAATGGTCTAGTACATTTCGGGGATTTCAAATTCTTACCCCCTTATGCCAACTGCGGCCCCGGGCCGATTTTTCTCCACCTGCTCCGGGCCCATCTTACTCCACCTGCCCCAAGCCCATCTTACTCCACCAGCCCCGGGTCCATCTTACTCCACCAGCCCCGGGCCCATCTTACTCCACCTGCCCCGGGCCCATCTTACTCCACCAGCCCCGGGCCCATCTTACTCCACCAGCCCCGGGCCCATCTTACTCCACCAGCCCCAGGCCCATCTTACTTCACCTGCCCCGGGCCCATCTTACTCCACCAGCCCCGGGCCCATCTTATCCACCAGCCCCGGGCCCATCTTACTCCACCAGCCCCGGGCCCATCTTACTCCACCAGCCCCGGGCCCATCTTACTCCACCAGCCCCGGGCCCATCTTACTCCACCAGCCCCGGGCCCATCTTACTCCACCAGCCCCGGGCCCATCTTACTCCACCAGCCCCGGGCCCATCTTACTCCACCAGCCCCGGGCCCATCTTACTCCACCAGCCCCGGGCCCATCTTACTCCACCAGCCCCGGGCCCATCTTACTCCACCAGCCCCGGGCCCATCTTACTCCACCAGCCCCGGGCCCATCTTACTCCACCAGCCCCGGGCCCATCTTACTCCACCAGCCCCGGGCCCATCTTACTCCACCAGCCCCGGGCCCATCTTACTCCACCAGCCCCGGGCCCATCTTACTCCACCAGCCCCGGGCCCATCTTACTCCACCAGCCCCGGGCCCATCTTACTCCACCAGCCCCGGGCCCATCTTACTCCACCAGCCCCGGGCCCATCTTACTCCACCAGCCCCGGGCCCATCTTACTCCACCAGCCCCGGGCCCATCTTACTCCACCAGCCCCGGGCCCATCTTACTCCACCAGCCCCGGGCCCATCTTACTCCACCAGCCCCGGGCCCATCTTACTCCACCAGCCCCGGGCCCATCTTACTCCACCAGCCCCGGGCCCATCTTACTCCACCAGCCCCGGGCCCATCTTACTCCACCAGCCCCGGGCCCATCTTACTCCACCAGCCCCGGGCCCATCTTACTCCACCAGCCCCGGGCCCATCTTACTCCACCAGCCCCGGGCCCATCTTACTCCACCAGCCCCGGGCCCATCTTACTCCACCAGCCCCGGGCCCATCTTACTCCACCTGCCCCGGGCCCATCTTACTCCACCAGCCCCGGGCCCATCTTACTCCACCAGCCCCGGGCCCATCTTACTCCACCAGCCCCGGTCCATCTTACTCCACCAGCCCGAGGCCCATCTTACTCCACCAGCCCCAGGCCCATCTTACTCCACCAGCCCCGGTCCATCTTACTTCACCTGCCCCGGGACTCGCTTTTTCCACCTTTGTCTCGTCTCATTATTTTTATTTCATAGATTGTTTCGTTAAACATCTAAATATTATAAAGTTGTTCTTTTAAGAAGTTCAATTTGTGGCTTATTATATCAAACTACCGGTGTTACCAAGCTAAAAAAATTAAAATAAAAAAATCAATATCATTCTTTTAAAGATTTCAAATCCACATTGGCTCCTTATTATGTATATATATTTACCCATATTGGACAATGCCTTTTTGTGCCTTTTACAACTTGTTTGAAAGGATACATTCTTTTTTTAAACGTTTTAAAAAGTTCTTTATAAAGTTGTTAGAAGCTCATAAAAAAAATCGACTTCCCAGTACAATGGAGCAGCAACTGTCTTAACCGGGAGTTAGAGATGTGCTTGGAAAATGACGTCATGGATTGACCATTGATTTGAAATAACGTATAAACAAATACTCTGAAAAAAAAAAGAAAAGAAAACAAAGAAAACCAAAAATAATAATAATTGACGCAAGCGTTTTTGTTGATACATAATTCCTTGTACCTGTCCATTACAGCAACTGAACTCCATCTGTAAAGTGTAACAATTAATTACAATGTATACATTTTTAATTAAAAAAAATTATTTGTTTTTGATTTAGTATTTTAGTATTATGTTTAATTTTATTAAAGCGTTTTTATTTTCTATTGTACTTTTCCCTCATGGGTGATTAGGGGCAGATAGGGGCCCCAGTGCATTGATTTGCACAGGGCTTCTAATGTTGTTAAGACGACCCTTTCTTGCCATCAACTGTATGCATATTTATTTTATCAGATTTTGTTTTCGTTTTCCGTAGAATAAACAAAATGTACTATTATTGTTTTTTAAGAACCCTATTCATTAATTATATAGAAAGATGAAGTCTATTTTACACGCATTTTGAACACACATTTTCGCGTCGTTTAAGTTTGGTGCTCCTTAAGGGGAATTTTATTTTTTGCACCATTAAACATAACGTACGGCAATGACATTGGTTTGTTCTAATATAAGTACTGACAACGCATTGACCTATACCCTTGCCGTATGCCACATTCAGATACGCCGACAAGGCTGCAAACGGGAAGGTCCTAAACCAGACCGTGGAGCTGATGAAGATATTCCCTGACCTCGTCAAAGGATTCGACCTCGTGGCCCAGGAGGACGTCTTCCATACCACAGCGTTCTACGCCGATGAACTTTTGAAACCAGACCACAGTCCGGTCACACCGTATTTCTTCCACGCCGGTGAGACAGGTAAGGTCTCCAGGCCAGGTTGGAAACATTCGTGCTGTTAGACCACGGCTCGAAGTACGCTACTAATTTTAAGACTTTGTAAATTTATGAATAATAAATTATACATAATATAGATGAAAGTGTTTTTCCCTTCCCTTCACTCCGACGCATCGTCTACATTCTTCTCAGCCTATCTCAAATTCTCCCTTCATCTCCTACATCAGTGGTTCCCAACCTTCCTAATGCCGCGACCCTTGAATACAGTTCCTCATGTTGTGGTGGACCACCCCCCCCCCCAAACATAAATTATTTACGTTGCTTCTTCATAATATAGTTTTTTCCGTTGGTATCAGGTGACCCCTGTGTAAGGGTCGTTCGACTCCCAAAAGGGTCGCGACCCACAGGTTTAGAACCGCTGTCCTACATCATTACGGTACCCGACACCCACCGCCACTTTACAGTTTCCTGTTCATTCGTATTCTCTCTATAACACGATGATGTCAATCTCGATGTTAGTCTTGCGCAACTAAGAAGCCCGGGTATTAATTTTTATGGAGCAGAAACTGTTTCCGAATCCTCCTTAACCGCGGTTCTTGGCAAAGCCGCCTCGGGTCGCCTGTGAATGTGCTGGCCTCCATCGTTTCTTTCATCCAGACGCCATGGCTTACGGGGCAGTCTAATGGGTCGTCCATCCGCCGCCGGTTCGCCATACTGAAACGTCTCGGGCAGTTGGGATGCAGAGTCATTTAAGCACAAGCGTTTCTTTTAAAAACTTCACAAACTTCCACAATTTTTGTAGTGAGTGCCAAATAGCGCCAAATTCTGACTTTCTAACACTAAAAAGAGATGTTTTATATATTCTTCTGAGTTGTTGTATTTAATTTGATCTGATACAATGTTGCCAATTTGATTCTGTAGATTGGACTGAGGGTGTTGACGTCAATTTGGTAGACTCCGTTCTGATGAAAGCCAAGAGGATCGGTCATGGTTACGCAGCCATGCGTCACCCCAAGGTCATGGAAGCAGTTCTTAAAAAGAAAATAGCAATTGAACTGAATCCCATATCTAACCAGGTGAGAATATAGCTATTGAATTGAATCCCATATTCAACCATGTGAGAAGATAGCCATTGAATTGAATCCCATATCTAACCTGGTGAGAAGATGGCCATTGAACTGATTCCCATATTATCTAACCAGGTGAGTAGATGGCCATTGAACTGAATCTCATATCTAACCAGGTGAGAAGATGACCATTGAAATAAATATCATATCTAACAAGGCGAGAAGATGACCATTGAAATGAATCCCATATCTAACCAGGTGAGAACATATCCATTGAAATGAATACCATATTTAACCAGGTGAGAATATAGCCATTGAGCCCAGTCCCCTATCTAGCCTGGTGAAAGAATATCTCTTGAACAAAATGTCATCCGTAAACAATTGAGGTTTCAACAGTTCCCGTAAAACACCGCTAGTCAATATGTCATGTGGGAGTTTGCACGATCCATACAACATATTCGTTGTTTTTAATCGATAGATTTTTCACGAGACGTAGAAGCCCATGCGTAAAAAGGGGAACCCGAACTGGTCCGTCCCTTCCAAACCCATTTTTATGGGAGGGGCTGGGGCATCATTTTAAGTACACTTCATATCGTATTAGGGGGCCTATTTTTTAAAATTATTTTCCTGCAAATTTCGTGATTTTTTGGAGTTAGGTGCATCATAGTTAAGGACCGCAGCGGGATTCAAAAAATCTATCCACTCCACTGTTAAGAAGACCCGCGTTATACCTGTTTGGCATCCCTGTCGAAATTAATCTAAGCCTGAAGAAGAGTTATGCAAAACGTCCCACAACTCTGCATGTTCCCTTCTGAATACAAACAATTTTAAAAAAAAAAATAATAACAAATAAAGAGCCATGTCAATTAATTTATTTTTCTCATAGGTCCTGGGCCTCACTAATGACCTCCGCGACCATCCAGGGGCCATCTTCATCGCCTACGGGGCCCCTGTTGTCATCTGCTCTGACGACCCCGTGGCGTGGTTTGCCAGGCCACTGTCCCACGACTTTTACTACACGTTCATGGCACTAGGGGCAGCCAACGACGACCTGCGTCTGCTGAAAAAGCTCATCTTCAATTCATTCAAGTAAGATAGCCATTTGGTTTGGCAGTGCTGATCAGGATTTTCGTGGCGTCATTTCCTTTGGCATTGTTGCGTAACCGCGATAAGCTGTGCCATGAGTCAAACTCTAGGTATTGTGAAGTACAGTACTTACAGAGGTATTGAGAATTACAGTATTTACCAAGGTATTGTGAAGTGCAGTACTTATCGCGGTGATTTGAAGTACAGTACCTAGTGACGTATTGTGAAGTGCTGTACTTACCGAGTTAGCGTGAAGTGCTGTCCTTATAGAGGTATTGTGAACTGCTGTACTTACCGAGAGTTAATGTGAAGTGCTGCCCTTATTGAGGTATTGTGAAGTGGTGCGCTTACAGAGGAATTGTGACGTACCGAAATGCAGTGTTGGGGCACTTGATAGCCACTTGTCACACGCTTTCGTCATTGAACGAAGTTTGTTTTCTTGTCACGGTTACATTGTCCTCGATTAAGGCTGTAACATTGGCAAAAAGTCCCCCCATAATCATAGTTCTGAAAATCTGAACCATAAAAACTTCTCAAGTGGCTAAAGAGTTCAAACGTGTTGATACATTAAACCATATGATACAAGACTCGGTAAAATTACACACTTTTATTTTTCTCAACATAATAAAAAAACCAAAAAAAAAAACCGTTTACTTCTAGGTGGTTTCAATAATAAAGAAAAGGCCACATATTGACCAGCTCATTGACCAACACATTGAACCACACATCGAGCCACCTCTTGTCGTTTTACAGTTCGAGAATACACAATTCAAAAATGAAATAAAAAAACAGCACAACTTGATGAAGGGCGCTTCCTGCAGACCACCACAGACGCATTTGAAACAACGGTCACAACAGCAGCGAGCAGCGATAACAATGAAAACAACAGCAACAGTAACAAACGGCAACAAACAATAACAACCGCTCACCACGTCACTAAACACGGAACATTCTTCACACAAGGGCTTTTCATTTCAGTCATGACTGCATTCTATACATATGCGACATTGTTGAGCCTTCTCGTCCATGAGGGGCATCCACCGATCATCGTCGGCGTCTGCGGTTCCTCCAAGGGCATAGGCCACCTACGAGAGACCTCCAGGCATCTCTATCCTGGGCCAGCTTCTCCAGGATCTTCCATTCATGGCCAATTTTCTTGATGTCTGTCTCCAATTCTCGGCGCCAAGTGTTTCTTGGACGGCCTCTTTTCCGCTTACCCTGTGGGTTCCATTTCAGGGCTTGCTTTGTTGTGTTAGAAGCAGGTTTTCTTAGTGTATGACCAATTCACCTCCACCGCTTCTGGAGAATCTCTTCCTCAATGGGTTTCTGTTTTGTCCGCTGCCACAGTTCCTGGTTGCTGATTTTGTCTGGCCAGTGAATTCTGAGAATCCTTCTTAGACAGTTGTTGATGAAGGACTGGATTCTGGTATCCTGGGCCAGCTTCTCCAGGATCTTCCATTCATGGCCAATTTTCTTGATGTCTGTCTCCAATTCTCGGCGCCAAGTGTTTCTTGGACGGCCTCTTTTCCGCTTACCCTGTGGGTTCCATTTCAGGGCTTGCTTTGTTGTGTTAGAAGCAGGTTTTCTTAGTGTATGACCAATTCACCTCCACCGCTTCTGGAGAATCTCTTCCTCAATGGGTTTCTGTTTTGTCCGCTGCCACAGTTCCTGGTTGCTGATTTTGTCTGGCCAGTGAATTCTGAGAATCCTTCTTAGACAGTTGTTGATGAAGGACTGGATTCTGGTCAGGTCTACGGCCGTTGTTCTCCATGTCTCGGCTCCATATATGCGACATTATTGAAAAAAAAAAAACCCCAAAAAAAAACAAAACAATGATGATACCTAAAAGAAATATATTTTCATAAATATTAATTTAAATAATAATAATAATAATAATAAAAATGTTCCCCCAGGTACAGTACAATGACCCCGAAAGAAGTGCAAGTGGCTCTGAGGAAGTGGCAGGGACGCTGGGACACATTTTTAGATGACGTCATAGCTAAATATAATCTCTAAGTCACCTCGCCAAGACAGACTGCCATTAAACGAAATATATGTATTTTCCTCTAATGCAAGGTTTCCCAAACTTTATTTTTTGGTGACCCGACAACCGTTCATTTCTTCTTTCGGTAACCCGGTAAGTTTGCTTTAGGGGCCCGGCATCGGGTCGCGAAAAGGCATGTGGGAAACCCTGCTGTATTATTAAAGGTTTCATTCTTAATCTTAAAAAAAATAAAATAAATAAAACATTTATGAGTTGAATTAAATTATAAGCATAATGCTACTTTGAAATGCAACTTATTTTAATTAAAATTAAATGGTATAATATAGGCTTAAAACATCATACAATTTTGATATTTTGTTTCTTATGTGTCCTCTCTAAGTGTTTTTAATCAGAAAACAAAAATCCATCTTTTAAGACCAGTCGTTCTCAAAATTTTTCCGGTCACCACTTCCCCTTGGAGGCCATAAACTCGCCCCGAGCGCCACCTGTCTTACACTATTAGAAGCATTCTCATATAACATCAAATTGCAAAACCACCTATATATTATAATTAAATTATTAAATGCAAAAGAGTAACATACATTTGAACATTTATCATTCCTTACATTAAAAAAAAATCAATAATAAACTGACTCATATGATCTAGCTTGTAAAATGGGAGAACTATTCAACAAGACAAATAATAAATATATAAGCATCACAACCACCTTCGATTGGAAATAAGTATTATTTTACATGCTAAGTTTTGCGCTTTAGAAGAAATAATGTTGATGCTAAATAAAAGTGATCTCGTTCCCATGAAACTTAGAAACATAATTTCAGTTGGCTTTAGCAATTATTGCTTATGTGCATAAGCAACACCGATATATGCCTTTGGAGCAGAGGCATCACTGGCGGTGGTGTTACCCGGTTTCAGTTAACTCGTGGGATCACCCCCCCCCC